TAAAAAAAATAGAGTTCTTGATACCTGTAAACCTGGAAAAAAGGCAAGCAAAGCATCCATCCAAGTCCGAGCATTCAGCATTGGTTTGTGGATATGCACATCAAGGAGAAGAGGTGGCTGGCTAATGTACCTCATTATGGCATCGTAGTGCTAAAAGATCACAATATGCGTTCATGAAAGTAGGTGAAAAGAGATGTACTAAACACATTAAATAGCACTGTAAAGAAATTAAACCAGAATTTATACATAAATACACTACCAATTAACTATGTAAATATTTAAATTATTTTGGATGGAAATCTTCTAAAACATATACCCTCCTTTATGTCCTGTAACTCAGACGTAGAATGTTGAGGACTACATCTAATATGGGACCTTCTGAGGAAAGTCAATCTGATAACTTTATGGCCCACTGATGTTCTTAGATCCTCTTGGAATATAGTTACGGCCTCTATATTACAGAATTAGTTTTTGCCTATGTCTAGGAAGTTTGGTCCTTTCTCAGCTAACATAATATTCTGGTGCTCTAGATAAGTGCAGTGGTACGAGCCTATAATCCCAGCTATGCAAGAGGATCATTTGAGCCCAGGAATTCAAGACCAATCTGGACAAACACAGCAACACCCTATCTCAAAAAAAAAAAATTTAAAAAAAAACCATTCTAGTGCTAACTACTATTTAAACTAACACATCTAATCACTGTTGCCACTCTCATGGTCTGCTCTCTCTGCTTTTTATGCTCTTAGAAATTCTTTCTCCCCTTCTTTTGTCTTCTTCTCCTGGTTATTTCTCAGCTTTGACAACAGGCTGGGTTGTAGTAATCAGTCAATAAAAAATACTATCTGTCCCCAATCACCTCAAGAAATTCTTGTTATAATCTAACAAATAAATGTGATAGTATTTTTCGAAGTATTCAATTGATGACTTATTAAAACTTCTACTAGTTTATTTTTTGCTAACTTGCCTATTATTTAATCACCATTATTGAGTACCTGCCATAGACAAAGGCACTATTCTAATCACTTCATATGCATGAATTCATTTTATCCTCCTAATAACCCTATAATTAGTGTTAGTACTACCATATCACAAAACCAGCAGTGGTACAACCAGGATTTAAACCAGGACACCTTCCATACTTTTGACCACTATATCACAATGTCTCACATATGTAACATGGGTGAACTAATGGGTGAGCAAAGAAACAATAAATTATTTTTAAAAGAATACGGTGATATAACTGATGAGTTTGCCATATTAATTTCAGTTTGCTTCAATTACAAAGGTGATCCGACTGGGTTCAATAATCCTCCCTCTCTGCCCGAAAAATATGTCCGTGGTTCTGATCCAGTCTTGAGACTTACAGACCCGCATTTGAAATGAATATTCACTAGTTTCTCCAAGTCTTCGAAGCCATATATATTTGGTGTGATCAAAGACTAGTCCAAACTTTCAAGACCTCAAAAAGAATTAGAATCCAAAAGAGAAAGCTAACTAGTAACTTATTCCAATAATTGTCTTCCTTGTACAGTGTCAAATCCATTTTATCACTTATTGGCATATCTAGAAATTTTCTGATAAAAGCTGAAAATAAAATTGCTTTGTAAACTAATTGTTTGGAATGTATGTAGCTTTTATCCTGTCCCTGTTCAACATCATCAGGGAATAATGACACAAAACCATTATACATTTAAAAACAAATTATTTTTAGAATGTCACACAGGTAACTGAGTTTCTATCAAAATATGGACTCAAATGAAATTGGCTATAAAAATTAATGCAAAATTGGATCAACTTACCGTATTAAATCTTTCCAGAAAACTGTCATCTCCAAGCAAGACATAGGCTTTCAACAGATACTCATAATATGAATCAATCCCTGCTCCAACTCCACTATCTATGGAAAAACATACAATGTGATTTTTCATTAAACAAGCATTAAACATTTTTTATAGAGTACAAGGGGGGGTACTAGCACAATTAAAAATTAGTCTAAACACAAAACTGTTTAAAGTAAAAATTATACATTTACAGAAATATTAACCCTACTGTATGAGTAATGGCTTCCTTGTTGATAATATTTTGTGATTAAAACAAATCTTACTTTGCAAAATTGGTTACAGAGCATTTATTTAAAAGCAAGAGATACTACATAGTTTTAAGATTTTTTTAAAAGTAAATTTTCTCAGGGAGGAACTTCAATGAACAAGCACTAGAGGGTGCCATGATGCAATTTCTTGATTGAACCCTTAATTAGTAAGGCACTAATCTTTAGAGTCGTAGAAGATACAAAAACAAGACTACTATAGTTTGGAGGTGCCAACATACTTGCTGGCTTCTTCCTTCAAGATCATCACAGAGGACTAAAGAAAGAAAATAACAAGGGAAAAAAAAAAAACAAACCTGTAAGAAATCTCTGGGGAAGAGGGAGGGAGGGAAAGGGGATAGCTTTGACCTCGAGCAGAAGGCAGCCAGGCATGGCTATGAAAGGATAAAAGAGGAAACTGCTAGAGCTTTGCTCCTGCTTCTCTCCTGCCACTGTTGTGTGACATAAAGTCTCCTCCTACATTTCAGACCTCTGCCCCAAGTATCCTCAGGAGAAAACTCCGGGCAGCACAGAAACCTGTGTGAGGATCTGAACAAATTAGGTGGGGACAAACTCTAAAACAGTCTCTTTCCCACCTTTTCTCCTCCTAATTCCTAGGCTTGGTGAATTATAATGTAAATTATAATTACAATCTTAGAAATCCCTACACCAAGGGCATCAGAATTTCTAGGAGTCCAGGCATCAGTATTCTTAGAAACTTTTTAAAATTCAACCCTGAAATCACTGGGGCTGATAGGGATTGGAACAGACCATCTCACAAAGTGGGAGACATGGAAACAAGAACTCACAGAACAAAAACAAGAAACTGAAGAAACAGGATTTTTTAAAAAGAAAAATAATGTACTGGAATAAAAGTTTATCAGAAGAAGAAAAAATATCAGAACAGGAAAATTAAGAATTTAAAATTAGCCTAATAAACATATTAAAGAGACAAGAAAGGTATTAGCAATAAAAAATGAGAAGAAAAAAATTTAAAAATCAAGTAGATATACACAGAATTAAAAATATAATAGTCAAAATAACATAATAGATGGATTGTATATCAGAAAGAATACAGTTGAGGAACAAATTAGCAAATTAAAAGACCATGTGTAGTAACCTCCTAGAAGGAAAAAAGAAAGGCAAAAAAAAAAACATAAAAGAAAAGCTAAGCTATAGGGGGGATAGAAATAGAAGTGACAGTGATTTATCTTTCTTTGCAAAAAGAGAGAGAAAAAATCAAAAGGATAAAATCAAAGGATAAAATATCTTTAAAAAAATCCATTTTTAGTAATTAAAAACAGATTTTTAATTTGAAAGGGCCCACAGAATATCACAAGGAGAGATTAAAAAAAAAAACCCTACATCTAAAATTATGTGACAGTTTAGAAATTTTTCTTTGTGTTTGATGTTCATGGTTTTCCAGAAAGAAAGAGTGGATTACATATAAGGGCATAAAAATCAGAATGACATCATACTTTTTAAGAGAACATAAGACGAACACAAAAAGAGTACTTTCAAAAACTTGAAGGATAGTAACTTACACCAAAAATTACACACAGCAAAACTATCTCTCAAATATGAAAGCACAATAAAACTCCTGTTAGGTACATACAACCTTGGAAGCTATAAAAATCTACTGAAAAAAGTTGGATGAAATATTTAAATAAGAAGAGCGACAAACCCAGGATTTGTTATCTTTAAATAGATGAGGGAGACGGGGGTGGCGGAGAGAAAGAAAGAGAGAGACAGAGACAGAGAGACAGAAAGAGAGAGATCACTAAGACCAAAAGAAAAAGGAGAAAATAAAGTCATAATCAATAAGAACTAAATATCAATACAATATCAACAAAACAGGAATGAAGGCTGGGGCAGGGGGGCATAAAGGGATGAGAGGGCATAATAAAGTTCATGTCATTAGGAAATAGATATAGGTATCAATTAAAAACACAACTAAAAAGAAACATAAAAAAGGTAGAACATATCAAAAAACAATTAAGACAGAATAAATAAGTCTAAATATATTAAAAATATAGATGTAAATGGACTAAACTCACCAATTAAAAGACAAAGACTGAAAAAATAGATTTTAGAAGACTGTAAATTTTATAAGAGATAAATTTATAGTATGAGCACCTACAAAGATTGAAAGTAAAAGGATAAAAAAAGACTTATCGGGCAAATACTAAGCAAGATAAAGCTGTTGTAGCTATATTACTATCAGATAAAATGTATTTTAAGACAAAGACTACTGTCAGAGATGGAGAGGGTCACTGCATAATAACAAAAGGTTCAACTAAGAAGAGATAGCAGTTTTAAATGAACATACCCAATATATACACTAGAATATATAAAGCAAAAACAGAACTACAGAGAGAGATTAATAAGATCATAATCATTGCTGCAAATTTAATGTACTTTTCTTAATTCTTGATAGAGAAAGCAAACAGAAAATCAGCAGGATCTACACAGAATTATTAACACTGAGCAAACTGACATTTATAGAATTCTGTATCCAACAATTAGAAAATACACATTTTTTTAAGCACATATGGAACATTTACAAAAATTGACCATGTTCTAGGCCAAAAAGAACACTCCAATACATTTCAAAGGATAGGTAACACACAGATCATAAGTATCTCATATTAGCATATAGACCAGCACTCCCCAACCTTTTTGGCATCAGGAGCCAGTTTCATGGAAGACAATTTTTCCATGGATCAGGGTGGGGGGATGGTTTCAGAATTATTTAAGCACATTACATTTATTGTGCAGTCAAACCTCTCTGCTAATGATAATTCGTATTTGCAACCGCTCCCCAGCACTAGCATCACCACCTCAGCTCCATCTCAGATCATCAGGCATTAGATTCTCATAAGGAGTACACAACCTAGATCCCTCACAGGTGCAGTTTACAGTAGGGTTCGTGCTCCTATGAGAATCTAATGCTGCAGCTGATCTGACAGGAGGTGGAGCTTATGCAGCAATGCAAGCGATGAGGAGCGACTGTAAATACAGACGAAGCTTGCTTGCCTCCTGCTGTTGCGGCCTGGTTCCTAACAAGGCACAGACCAGAACCAGTCCGTGGCCCGGGGGTTGGGGACTGCAGATATAGACCATTGAATTATAAATATTATGATAAAAATTTTAAATGGCCCCACATATTTGTAAAGTGCTGCTAAAAACTCAAAGAAAAGAGAAATCTGTGAGAACCACTTTTACCTCACATTATACACATAAATCAACTCCAGATGGTTCATGAACTTCAATATCAATAATAAAACTCTGAAACTCTTAATATCAAA